TGATCGTAGAGGTTGCCGGTGCAAGATGAGATGAAGAGGATGCTTCTGCTTCTGAAATCTTGTCCCTCAATGATTTGTTCGCCTCGGATAGCTCAATTGATTTCTCCCTTTCCTCGGCGTACTCATTGTGGGTTTCGGCATACCATTCATACATCTCATCTCGGCTCTCTGTCATTTCATTGTACCCGTCCTTGTAGTGCTTCGCCTCCTCTTTTGCGTTCCGAATCTCATCTTCCTCGGACGCGTGGGTTGGTAACCCGCGGTCTGTGGAACTAGGACGCTTGCTGTACCGAGAGACTATGGGTGCCATTCGTGCTTCTGCTTTTAATTTCGCATTTTCCATAATGACATTCTTTGTCTCCTTCTGGCTTTCCAATAGTGCATTCTCCAGTTCTCTGATCTTCTGTTGAATTTCAGCACCATCATCGCCGAACATAGGAGCTCTCATCATATTCTCTCTTTTCAGCTGTGCGTTGGCTTCGGATAGAGCGAGGTTGACGTCTTTCAACTGTTGTCGTTCACGGATGGAACTTTCTAGGACTTCGTTGTTGAATATTTCTCCTTTTGCGATAACCTCCTTTGCGACGTTTGCTTCGTATTCATGGTGGCTCGCCTTCATTTCTGCCATTTCTTTAGCAGAGACTTCAGTCTGGCATACAAACATCTCCATCCTCATGCCCACTTCCATCTCTCCTATCTCCGCTCTCGCGTTGAGTTCAGCTCCACGTGCCATAGCTAGTTGACCTCGTAGATGATCAATAACCATAGCTTCCTGATTGCTCTGATCTTGAGATGAGTGAACACTGTGTTGAAGACGTCTTTCCCTGACCTCACTGTTCCATTGTTCTTCTCTCTGGTGTTGGATCACCTCGTGCATGTTGACATTCTCATCCTGTAGCGCAATCATTCTAGCTTGTATCTGGTCAGCTATTCCGACGAAGGCTGTGTTCTCATCCTGAATGGCTTTTGATCTTCTATTGATCGCCAATGAAGATTCATTCTGTTCTTGGATGTGTCCAATTGCTGCTTGAAGCTTTTGGGACATTCTGTCCTTCGTTGCTTTCACAGATTCAAGCTCTGAATGTTCTTGATGAGTTTCTTGTGCAAGCTCTTGATATCTCATGTAGATATGTTCAGCTGTCGATTCCGCCAAGCGTAGCTTGTGTTCGAGCTCTTCAATTCTTATTGTCGCTCCTTCATCTTCCTGTGTCATCTCTTGTAGATGTTCCTGCATCTTCCTGTTGTAGTCAGACATTTGCCTGAACTCCACTTCAGCCTCGTGGTGTAGTCGTGAGTATCCGGCTTGGATGCATTCATATTCTTCATGAAGAAAATTGTATGCGTTTCTCGCCGATCTCAATTCTTCACCCAGCTGAATCTCTCTTCTTTGCTCTTTTGTTCCTCTATCATCGTCACGTCTCTTCTCTATACTCCTTCTTGGGGATCTCGCGGTAGACGTTATAGGCGATGTAGATCTTGTTGTAGCTCTCATCGATCTTCTTGGTCCTACGGGTGCAAGATCGGTCAGATTCCGAGCCGGTGGCACGGATCTTTCCGAGATTTGTGATCCAGTAGGCATAGTGATAACGTCAGCATTTGCTGATGAATCAGTACCCATTGTAGAGTCTGGTGACGAAATGGTGTTGGGACCACCAGGAGCAGCGAATGAATAGGGTTCGCTTCCATTTCCTCCTGAGCTTGACATTGCAGGTTTCTGTAATGACTAGTCTTGTTCTTGGTCTCGTGTAGCTCGTACGGCTATAAAGAGCGCGTACGGCTGATAACCTGCGAGTGGATCTTAATCAGCGAAGTTTGAAGCTATCACTGACGGTCCATAAGCGGCGTAGCGTCGGAACGGAAACCGCACCTTTTCTAGTCGCTTGATCCTTGAGCCAAAGTACATATGGTACATATATATGTACAAGTTGCACTGTACGTGTCGCTGCACTTCCATTCGCACCTAGGATGAAAAAATCGACACTTCTATATACGACAAACATTAAAGTTGCAAGCGTCAATGAAAATGAAGAAGCATAGTAAGAAGAAGCAACAGAAATATGAGAAGATGTGGGCCGACCACCAGAAGAAGAAGAAGAAGTAGTAGCGAAACCAGAAGAGCCTAAACAAAAAGCACCTAAACAAAGTCAGAACCATAACAGAACAATTCAAAGCCAGTAATGAAAAGAACAAATGTGTTTTATACATATCCCAAGCAGTATGGTAAATCCATGCAGATAAGGAACTATGCAAAAAGAAGTGCATTGGAGCAATCGAAAACAAACCAGAAAAAAACAAAAATTATACCAGCATAGACCCCAAACAGCTTCAAAACCATTCGTTTAGACCAATATTAGTCAAAAATTGATTTCTTGGCTCGCCCTACTTTGACCCCAAGAGCAAACTGCTTCATCAATGAACTTTTGTCGGCATTGACATCGCTATTTGTTCGGCCACACTCCTCTCCAGTAAGCCGGGCCACAGAGCCCAGCCACAGAGTTCAGGGGCGCGGCCAAGACAAGGACAAGAGCGGGACAAGACGATGACAAGGCCCAGCCACAGAGCCCAGCACAGAGGACAAGAGGAGGACAAGAGCTCAGTAAGCCGTCCATAGCACACGAGCGCGCGCGCTCACCCTGCTCTCTCTCTCTCTCTCTCTGTGTCTTTCTTTCTGGAGCGTATTTCAGAGCGCGCCAGAGCGCGCCGTCCATAGCACACGAGCGCACGCGCTCGCCCTGCTGTCTTTCTTTCTCACTCTCTCTCTCTCTCTCTCTCTTTAAGTTTCTCTTTCTCTATCTTTCTCTCTGCAGAGAGCCCTGAGCGCGCCTTTCTGGAGCGTATTTCAGAGCGCGCGCTCGCCCTGCTCTCTTTCTTTCTTTCTTTCTTCCTTCCTTCCTTGCTTTCTTTCTTTTCTTTTCTTTCCTTTTCTGTTCTGTTCTGTTCTTTTCTTTTCTTTTCTTTCTTTCTTTCATTTTTTCTTTCTTTCTTTCTTTATTTCTTTCTTTCTCTCTCTCTCTCTCTCTCTCTCTCTCCCGCTCATTCTCTTTAAGTGGTTATTTCTCTGTCATTCTCTCAGCACAGCGCGCTCTGAGCGCGCGTTTCTGCAGCGTGAGCGCGCCGTCGCGCGCGTTTTCTTTCTCTCTCTGTATATCTCTCTCGCTCTCTCTCTCTCTCTTTCTCTTGAAGTTTCTCTTTCTCTGTCTTTCTCTCTGCAGAGCGCGCTGTGAGCGCGCCTTTCGTGAGCGTATTTCAGAGCGCGCAGAGCGCGCCGTCCGAAGCACACGAGCGCGCGCGGGCTCGCCCTGCTGTCTTTCTCTTTCTTTCTCTCTCTCTCTCTCTCTTCCTCTTTAAGTTCTCTTTCTCTGTCTTTCTCTCTGCAGAGCGCGCTCTAAGCGCGCCTTTCTGGAGCGTGAACGCGCCGTCCATAGCACACGAGCGCACGCGCGCTCGCCCTGCTGTCTTTCTTTCTTTCTTTCTTTCTTTCTTTCGTTCTTTCTTTCTTTCTTTCTTTCTTTCTTTCTTTCTTTCTTTCTTTC